ATTGAAGGAAAGGAAACTTATCACATAATAGCGTAACAAACTGCCACATAGTTGTGATATTCTTTTCAATCTACTGTATTTAGAAGCAACCAGAGTGAATGCAGTATTTCCTGATTGTTAGCTCAGAAAATTCCTTGGAAACCTTCCATTATTGCAATGTTGTCAAAAAATGTCAGCAGTGGAAGACATTAAGGTGCAGCCCATTACTTATTTTCCCTCTCAATAAGCCAATTAATTACTCTCTTCTCAAGCTAACACTTAAGTTAACTAGAGGGGTGAGTACGAAGTAAAATTTCCATACACAAACAGTTGCTGATAGCTTCAAATGGGCTTTAACAAACAGCTCTAACTCATCATTTCCTAGTGCTACTTCATTAGAAAACATAAAAATCAAATTGTAGGAATAGAGTTTTTTAAAAGGATACATTAAAGTACAGGCAGTGAGAAGAAAATTTGGAAACCCCATGTTTGTCACAGACTATAAAAAACAAAACAACAACAACAAAAAAAGGCAAGTAAGACAAAACTTACAGGATCTCTTTTTAAGACCTACTCTGAAGTAGAGAAGTTCAATCCAATGCAGAGATTTACTTAACGCTACATGCAGTCTATAAGAAATTGGCCATAAAAAAATTATTTTGTATATTTTTTTGAAAAACAATTGTTTTAAATGAGAAACCTCGAAGAAAGTTTCAAATTCCTAAATTGATTGTGAAATGTAAAATACTCTGAACTGTTAACCACTCAACAGATAGGTATCAATAAGAAAAAGACTCAATGTTAAGCAATGATATAATCATTGTCTCTCAAAATAAAAGATATTGAGCAAAGAGAAAATGTTATTTGAAAGCAAGCACAATACGGTAACACAAAACAAATGGGGGAAAATTTCATACCATACATATACAATGTAAATAGTGCTGCACTTATAAAACGAACAAGCGTATTGTACAAGATGAAAGTTTACAACGTAACAATAAAGAGAATCTTTCAATAAATTGAAAGTTTTAAATAGCAAGTCACAATGAACATGATTGAGACTGCCTCTTTGACAACTAAACCAGCTTTGAGAAGTTTGTCAACAAAGTTTCAGGGCAAAGTATTTTTTTAAAATGTACTTTCAACAAGAGAGCAACAAGCACTTGACAACCAATATTGCTAAAAGTCAAGTGACATGTCAAGTAATCATTTAGCTTAGAATGGTCATCACAAACGTGAATACATTATATGTTACACTTAAACTTTAGAACTGTTATGTTGCACCTTTACTAAACAGGTCAAAGAGTTGCCTGCCCATAGAAAGTCTCAAGTTGGTAACATTTCTAATCACAAATTCATCCTAATCACACTTAAAGATTCTGCTATATGAACAACAGACTATAACTTGCTTGCTGTCATGCGTGATTTTACCCTTATGTTAAAAAAAAAAATTTTGAGAAGTTGTGGATGTATGTTCATCAATCTTGAGATCTCCATTTTTCAACAGCTTCTCGGCGTGCATCAGGTTTCAGTTGACTTCTCATTCCACCAAGCACATTATGAGTTGCATCACTAAGGAATATGACAGGTTTGACAGCCAATCCTGGAATTTGGCGCAAAACTCCTCCCACGGCCCCAGTCATGCCTTTTTGTTCATGTTCTTCACTTGCCACCCTTACCACATTTTCAGCAGTTTCACTTATTCCCTAAAACAAAATAAAAAATAAAATAAGCAAAGAAAATAGACATGTTAGGTATAAGATTTAAGTCTGAGTCAAAATGCCTGCTTACCTCCTTAACAACATTGTATGCATTGTGCATCCCTTCACGGATATCAAGAGGTTGATTGTTGCGCTTTCGTCTGTGACCTTTGCCTTTCCCTGCAATAGCTCTGTGGCGCACACTTGGACCAGGAGAAAGCATATCATATGCTGTTTCGGCAGTACACTGTTTACAAGAGAAAAATCATAAAACAAAGCAATTATTCCACAGTAAGAGACTTTGATACAGATTCATTCAGGTAAACCAAATTATTACCTGTATGGCTTGAACCAAACGGCTTGTTAGTTCTAGAGTAGCCATAGCTGTAGAGGTAGTAAACGAATTTGCTCCTCTCTGAAGACCTCGTACAATGCGACCATCTTTCTGGTATTGTTCAATTGGTAACCAAAACAGATCCCGTATTCCTTGAACTGAAAACAATTTTTGAAAACATTAAATTGCTGCATTGTACTTTTTCTTTTTCTTTTTTGTATGCCCCTAGAAGGATCTCCACAATACTCACATAGTTGGACAAGTGAATGCATAGGGCCAACCCCTCCAAGGAGACTTGGAAGCTGGTTTTTCTTAATGTCTTGAAGCCATTCTAGCAGAGCATAAGTCATGAGTTTGTCAAAGCCCAACAGTCTGTAAAGTCAAGAACAATGAGGCATGTGAATCAAAGAAAGCACTCTTGGCAACTAGATTACATGTAAATGATAATGGATCACACTAACCCATGGCGATGGTGTAGTCGTCTTAATTTAAGTTCAGAGCAATTGAGTTGCCCAAGGCCCATCAAAAGTCCTGCCAATGGTCCATGTGTCATATCAACATGCTTGCCATGGTAATCCAATCGGATAGGAACTTCCGGTGTGAAAATAAAACTCCTATTGATAGATAAGAAGTGGACCAATAAAGAAAAAACAAAATACTGCAAACCACACATAGAAACTTAATGTTGAGCTGTTGTACCTGAAGTAAATTGGAGGAGCAGGGGACTGGTTATCAGAATCTACAGAATTTCCAGTCTCCAGGTTTGATGTCTGGTGAGAAAAACCCTCTCGAAGACCAGCAAGAGTATCTGTTTCCTCTAACTGAATCAAGAGTGTAGACTGATCAGTTGGCAAAATAATGCTCTGACCGTCATTGATATTAACAGTCATTACTGGTGGCTGATGGGAATGTTGATGGGTTGGTGTAGCCAACCGAGGAGTACTGCATTGGGTGCCCTCCTCATCTACATTGGCAAATGGTTAGTGTATGACTTCAAAATATTTATTAACAACACGTTTAAGTTCAACAGCACTTACCATCATCAGGACTGCCAGAAATTTCACTGAAAAAGTTGTACAGAAACAGGAGTGAATCTTGGTCAATGTTGAGGCGAATTGGCAGTAATGAAACTCTAAGACAGCACTCCTGAGCGGTAAGTTTTGGATCTGGGCGAATGTGAACTGCTTTTAGCATCAACATATTGGCATGTGATTGCTTAGGTCTGGCTTCACTCGAGTACTGATAGAGAAATTTGTTGATTTCACTAGATGCTAAGCGATCTCTCACTTCTATCTCTTGAATGAGAAGAACTTGTCGAGAAGCTTCAGTTGTATTTTCTGGATAAACCTCATGCTGAAAGCGGACCTAAGAAATAGAATAAAGAATAATTAGAGATGGCAGGTTTTAGTTGATGATTTGGCTTGAAGGAGTAAGAACTACCTTATTTAGTTGTAACTCCATAAGAGTGTCATGGTTTCGACCAGCACCTCCTTTAACTTGCCATGTCATAGGGGCCACATTTATTTTGCATGGTGGGCTTGAACTCACATTACTCCCACTAAAACGTACCTGTAATAAATAAAAGCAGTAACAATTAAATGATTCCGAACAATTAATTAAATACAGTATGTCTTTTCAAAAAAAAAACTTATTCTTCAGAGCCCTTAACAAACTGATGTTATGAAACTTACCTCTTGTGGGTTACTTTTGGAGAAAGAGACAATGCCAGGTCCGAATTCTGTTGCTGGATTGGATTGAAGACGAGTTGCAGATCGCAAAGGTATGCCTCCACTAAAAATGATCATTTAAGAGTATAAGACACTGAATTTACAATAGAATTTTTCTAAAACATGTAATGATGCAGTTGAACTTCATATAATTCTTACTGTACCTCTCTATTCCTTCATTGATGTGGACTCGTTTTTTAGCTGTTTGGACACATGGTGTTCCCTTCGGAACACCAAAATCATGGCCACCATACATATGCCAAACAACACTCATCTCCCTGAGCGTGTATCGCATGACAGGCACAGGATAATGTTTAGGTGGTTTGAGAAGATCTGCTTTCCCATGAGGTACAGCAAAGTGATTTTCCAATATATGAATAGGTTCTGGAATCAAAGCTCGGATTTCCGGAAGTCCACTTTTGGGCTGTAAAGCAGAACACAAGAAAAAGTTAAGAAAAGTTGTGCATTTGTATGAATAACCAACACACTAAAATGCTATATTATCTCATACTGGAATGCCACTGCCAGTTTCTTCTTCTAGAATGCAAAAGTCTTCATCCCATTCATCTTCAATTTCTTCTTCCTCCTCCAGCATAGCCTGATTCATTTCAGGGTGATCTAATGTTACTGAGTTTCTACCCTCTTCCCCAGCCCGATCAGCAAATTCAGTTGCTTTAGCCTTTTGCGACTCATCAGGAAAGTAAAAGACTTCAACAGCATCATTAGTCTTTTGAGAGTGAGGTGAAGCTGGAACAAAACAATTGATTTCTTTACCCACTGGTCATTTGGTAATCGTCATTTACAACAGTTTCACTGAGCTAGAGAGTATATTACCTGCAGCCGCAGGTACTGCATGTCCATTGGTGTCTAACATAGCTTCCTCCATCAAGGAATGCACATGATGCACCTGTTTGGCAGAGAGAGCAGGTTGTCCGGAGGGATCCGCTCCTTCCAACTGAATTAGAGTTTCCCTTTCCCCTCTACTGTGAGACCGAGCAGGGCTGGCCGGAGTGTCGTCTCGAACGGTGGCACTGCTCGAGTTAGTTCTGCTACTCGACACAGACTCACTTCCCCAGGGCCTACTGCTACTGCCAAGGCTTTGGCAGTCTGTTTGTTGAGCTAGGTCACCATCTCCAGCAAAGTAGGCAAGTAAATCTGTCAAAGCACGAGCTGAGTCTGGACATGTTCTGATATGCACAATGTTATTCGATGCACGCAAATCCACTCTGAAAATATGAAGATTGAAATTAGGTGAAGCCCAAAAGAATTTTTGGAGTATACATCACATGCAACCTGGTTACAAACCTTGGACCAGATCCATTTGTTTTGTCACTCAGCCTTAATGACAATTCAAAAAGACCAAGATCTAAAACACAAACATAATCACGACAGAGATCTATTGTACTCATACTGCCATTGGTTGATTTCTCAGCAAGCAAGAGACAAGCATCTTCAGCCATAAATCTTAAGGTTGATGTTTTGGTCTGGGCAGCAATGTTACTTGAAATACTTAGACTTCCAATAGTGAGCATTGATTTGAGAGGTAAATACAAAGGCCTGTAAGCAAAATAATTGTTTGATTGGGACTGATGATGGGAGAGAGCAAGATTAACTGCATTAAATAATTGTGCACAAGCCCTTAAGGGATTAATGAAGGGTGTATATAGATAGTATGAAAATGACTTACCTGTAGTCAATAGCACAGTCCCAAAAATGCAGATGAAGTTCAGTAATCACAAAAGGTTTGTCATATCCATTCACAGGATAATCCAAAATGTCAAAAAAGTCAGTAAGTTGCTTAAACCAACTGTGTCCTGCTGTGCTCATTTTGTGGTGCAGAGTTGTACCCCGAACTCCAACAGCCACTCTAAATGTCTGCACAAAATTATAAAAAGATTTTACACCTAAGTTCCAAGAATAACAAATAATTAAAGAAACCTCCATGTACTTTCTGTGTTTACTGACCTTTATGTTGTGGCTTCCCTCCTCAATTTGGATACGTAATGCAACAGTAACCATGTCTAAGCTATTCCTGCTTCCAGTTCCTACAGAACTGTTGGTGGTAGCTGACAAAACACCAGATTCAGAGCGATACATGGTGGGAAACAGATGAGCTCCCGGTGATGCTCCCACAGGGTACAATGATGGGCATGATGTGGGGACCGGTGCAATCCCTTAATAGATAGATAGAAAAGACAGAATTGATAAATTAATAAAAGAAAAACAGTGAACCTTTTTGAAAACTAGAGAGGTGCAAAACACATTAGATAGACAATCCTATGTTTTAACTAACCATTGTGAAATACCGCTGCATTATTTGCTTGAACACAAATATATCCCAATCTGGGACATCCTCTGTATTGGGATACCAAAAACATGTTGCCCTCATCTAACTGAAACAGGAATTCTCCCTGCTGGCCTGGTATTACATTTCCAAGTGAGTCCTGTAATAGAAAATTATGATCATGAGGAATATACCGCAAGTAAAACCAAAGTGGATAGATAGATAGGGTATTTGTTGGAATACGTATTTGTGACAAAATATACATTATGTTCCTAAAATGATTCGTAATCAAAAATCTAGTCTTACCCGAACTGGAGTAAATATTGAGAAAGAACCCTGGCTAACAGAAATTGAAACAGAAGCCTGACTCTGTCCAAAGTGTGCACTCTCTCTTCCACTTCCAACATTATGACGGGCACTTTTTTGCCTTGGTCTACTGTCATATACTGAGTAGTACATGCCTCCTTCATCACCATCTTCAATTGAATCAGAATCTGATTCTAAGAAAAATAGAAACAAAATTGTAATAATGTGCAGCCTTGGAATAGTCACAATAGAATTAATGTAACTTACCATACTGAATGCCTGATTTACACATAGAGAAGCCTGGATAAGGTGAAAAGTTGGGAAATGATGACAAGTCTTGGGCCATAGCTGAGGGAACACTCTTGGGTTTAGGTGCTGATGGCGTCCAAAGTAGTAAATCTGTGCTGATTCTGTGCAAAAATGAAAACTGTGTAAAACTTATGATTCTTCAACCAAGCTTCCTTGGAAATAGCAATTATCCATTATCCTACCTATTGTAAACAAGTTCAAACATATGCTTAGAGGGAAACTGAACAGTTGCACAAGGTATATGAATTTCAAACTGTAGTTGACTACTCTGAGTGGCATAACGAATGAAATCCTTTATTTCTTTCTGATTGCCGGGTATTACAAGCTCCTCGCCCTCTGTAAATAAAAAGTGAAAAATCGATGAGAACTTTTATAGCGCACCTCTTTTACTTTCCATGGAAAATTAGGAAGTACCACTTAGATAGATAGATACCTTGAGCAGGACAAGATGCTTTTCCATGAGGTGTGTCACTTTCATGCACAACTCGTTTGGAGCTGAATGGGGAAGGTTCCTTATAGCCTGCATTTTTCAAAAGATCAATTGATGAGTAACTGATGGATTCCTCTGGAAGGACAGGTGGACTGTCATCCAGATCTCCTGGTACTTGGGTTGGGTAACAACGAACAACCACCCTGAAATTATGTTTTTGTTAATATTAAACAAATGAAAAATAACATTTGACACTAAACAAAATTAACACAAATACTCCCTAACCTTGGCCATCCAAAACCTTCACCACCGTTGGGCAAAGATTGGCCGCTTTTTTCATCAGCATGAGCTCGTAGAATAGTAACAGGATTTTCAGAATCTCCTTCCTGTAAAATTTACAAAAAGCTTTACACACATTTACTCAAAAATATACACTATACAACTTCAAATATTTTTCTAATGTAGCACATGTAAGGATCTAAGAGGATCAGAAATTGTCATTGATTCTTACCTGGAAAAGGCCATGGACATCTTTAAATTGTAATTCGTAACTTGAGCACACATCAGAACTGTCAAAAGCTGTTTGGAATGATGCTTCACTAAAGTTAAGAAGAAGAAAGTCTTCCCTTACACATCTCTTCCACCAAGGAGGTCTGTCCATGTCATGGATCGGTCTCAGATCCGGTGTAGGAAATCTAATAGAATAAAAGACACAAAATCAGTAATGATTTAGATTAATTCTGTACTACAACTAAATTGAAGAGATTAACTGAAAATTTACCCACCTAAGCTTAACAATAATTGAGGCAGTGGAAACTTTGAGCTCAACTCTACCATCAGACTGACATCTATTATCTAAAGCATCAGTCAAACTAGAAGCTCTAGGACAGTCCTGTTGGCATATTATAAAATAAAATTTATAAAATTAAAGTAAAAGCAGTGAAAAAGGTAAGTGTATACAGATAGACGTAGATAGATTTTTAAAAAATAATTACAAACTGACATACCCAAAGATCTTTGTTTAGTCCTTTGCTTGTTACCCTGCTACACATAGGTTGAGGATTTAAAACGGCTGTGACTCTATCGACTATTGACACATCCAATTCAGACCAGCATGGTTCTAATTGAATTCTGAAAACAAAATCATTTTAATTTTTATCATGCATTTTTGACCCTAGTTGTAAACAACGGAGGAGAAACTCACCCTATTTCTGTTCGAGGCTGTGCAAATTTTCTGGAGGGGGCACCTGTAAGCCTTTCAGTGTATAGGAAATTCAACCTGAAATCTGGGTGACTTCGATGGATATATGGCATAGAAGCACTCGCTTCTGAATTAGGGCTCTGCACAAACTTTAGAAGCTGCAAGGGCAGATTAACGTAAAAAAACATGGCCTCTTCAATTAAATTTACCAGCATTAACATCTTAAACAGACCTCAACATATTCTGCAGTATAATTCTGTGAAGGTGAATTCTTTTCAATCAAACATTCTAAAATTTCCATACTGGCGGACGTTACCTGACCAGAGAGAGAGCTGGAGTGCATAGTTGTCTTTTCTCGACCTTCTAAAATAATTGCACTTGAAAGAAGTCTGAAAAAGACAAAGATAGGGGGTTGTTAATTGGAAGCTGAAAATAAAGCTATGACAGAAAATTAAGAGCAAAACTCTACTTAGTGTCAGTATTTACTTCACCTTATATGATTTCGTTGGACAGCTTGAAGAAAAACTTCACGAGCTTCAAAAAATGCTTGAGACCCACCCATAGCAGACACAGAAAACAGACCCAATTGGTCGAAAAAAGTGTTGGCCAAAGTTTTCATTTGATAGACAGATGACCTAGCAAGTGATGTACCATCAAGGTCTACAGAGAGGGTAAGAACATCCTCATGCAGAAGGATTACACTTAGACTACCAATTCTAATTTGAAAGTGACTGACTTCCGCTGATGGGTCTGCATCACTACCTCCTAAAGAGCTCCCAACTGTAGATCAGAAAAAATTCACAGTCAAATGAGACAAAAAACTGGCACAAGAAAAATAGAGATGTAACGGTGGTTGGCACCAACACAATGACTGGCAAAACTACATTGATAATGAAACAGTTTTCTACTAAATTGAATTCCTCAGCAATGTGGTTACCAGGTTAGATTAACTAATATCTTACCTTTATGCTTTTTCTTGTGACGATTTGAAGAAACTGACTGGCGATGGGGAGAGCCTGTCAGCCTCCCCAACATTTCTTTCCCACTACAGCTTGACGTGGCACCACTCATAGATGAAGATATTGAAGCATCCATACTCGTAGCAGAGGACATAATGCTTTCACTGAGATTAGAATGGCGATTTTTCATAGGCAAAAACTCATCATCACTCTCATCTGGATTTTAAAATAAAGAATTGTTGGTACCAGACATATTGCATACAATTACAACTAAGTAACCCATGGGTTTTTCCGGTATATTACATATAACTGTACCTAGAGGGGCAGATGACCACGCTTGAGCATTATGTAGTCCTTTACTCTGAAGGGATGCAAGTCCATGAACATGCTGTTGAAGATCTTGTTCTACTCTCTGGAAATCTGTAGGATCCATAGGTTTCTCAGAACATCTAGTTCTTGGAGCTACATTGCTGTAAAATAAAATATAATAAATAATACTAGAGAAAAACAACAACAAACATATTCGTAATTACACCCCTACATTATTTCAAAATCTGCTACCTTGTATCAACAGTGTCAGGTTGGGAAAGTCCATGCATCAGTTCCAACAGTACATGAAGTTGTCTTGGAGATGAAAAAATTGTAAGAGATCCAAGATTGAGCTCCAAATCAACCTAAATAATAAATACTATTAAAATCAAAGAAAATGGCAATTTGTTTTTGAATTGGCAATGTTATGTTTCTAAGTACTTACTTTTGGACCAACAACACCTTCTCCTTGCTTCAATTTAATCCGAAGTTCATGTCGTCCTGACAGTTTCCCAAAGAGAATCGGATCAGGCTCAAGAGAAAGGTTTGGTGCTGTGCTGCTTGATAACCCACCAGCAAAGCTTTGACTAGGAGATGCAGGTGCTGTGGCAAATGCTGTATCAGAATGCTGAAACCAAGGCAGGAATCAAATGATAAAAGGAGAAGATAGAAAAATAATGTGATTACCAAAGACCAGAATTTTGTAGTATGGCAAGGGGAAAAAGAAATACATACCTTAGAATCCGGTGTGGAGCCAGTAGACATGGACATAACTGACCTAGAAAATGTTCTAGCCTGAGATGGAAATTCATCAGTGTATATTGTAACACCCTCAAGACAGAACTTTTTTGTTGTGAAAGCAGCTATATGATAGGCTTTTCCTGTCTCACCAGGAACTGCCTCAGAGTCCTTTGGAGGATCAGCTCCAGCCTCATCAAGGTAGTCAATACTGTGGCGAGATGAAGAAACAAAAAGTATTAGTCAACGTAGTTGCTAAACAGACAGATGAAAACCACTACAGGGAAAAAAGATACAGACCTCTTAATGCGTACTTCCAAAGCTACTCCTGAACTGCTGTCTTTGGGAACATGTTCTAAGCGAATCACGGTGTCAATAAACTTCACTTTTACTTTACATAAAACTGAAAGGTAGGTCTTTTGATTAGAATTATGAGTAACACTAGTAGAACCTGGGCTTTAGGGAAAGGACACTTACTTGAATCAATTGTTTGTGCAAACAACTCAAGACCCTCCAAAGGCTCTGCCTCCTTCTCATCTGAATTTCCTTGTTTGAGACACTCCTCAGCAAGTTGCATGCTGCTAGTCATTGAACTCCACATTGACTCAAACATGGAAGTGCCTATTTAAATGAAATTAAGGATAAATATTTTTTTCTTACAGAGCCAAATAACAGTTTTAAACCAATGGATCAAAATATTTCTTACCATTGTCTGCACGTTGTTTTGGTTGAACAGTAAAAGCAAGGCCTTTAACTTCAACATAACTAGATTCGTTGAGCAATGACTTCCAAGGTATTGAGACAGAAATTTCAGAAATGTACCCATCAACAAACTCCACAGGAAAATTCTGTTGTTCTCCCAACTCATTGAGTGCCTGCAAAAAATAAATATATGATACTATCAAAATAATTCCCAGTACAGATGGGACAATGGCACACAGAATGTAACAACATACTTAAGAAGCAAGCAAAGTGTGAAAAAAGAACTAATTTCATACTAATCTCTATAAAAAAAAATATGGAAGAAAAATTAAATTGGCAGCAGGGACAATGCATCTGATAGACAATGTGACTCCTAAAAAGGCGTAGGAGCCCTATTGCTATCCGCTTTCTTTGCTTGTGAATAGAAAGAATAAATGCTAAAATGAATATAAAATAAATTTGGTAAAAGCGAGACGTTTTCCCCAAGATTTTACTGGCTCTAAGAGAAAAGGTAAACAAAGAGACCCAGGTGGTGAGAACATGCTAAAACAAAAACAACATGGGCCACACCAAGCTTGGTGTAAGGGGAAGGAAAATAGACTTAAAAATATGGGTCATACCTGAACATCCAGACTGACATCAGACACTGTTCCTGTTCCATTGTAAAGATCTACTGTCAGCTGATCCAAGGTCAGTTTTTCTTCCAAAAATTGTCCCAAATACCTCTGGAGCAAGTATCTACATGCAGTCTTCTTCAGGCTTTCAGACCATGGCAGGAACCAAGGCATTTTTATCTGTGTGATGGCAACAGTTCACAAAGAATCTGAAATCCGAAGAATATTCATTTCAGATGAATCACTTCCTTTGTAAACTTCAGCACGCAAAACATGCGCAAACCTAAACACTGAACGACGTCATTTGTCATTTGTTTGTTTGCGTTGTTAGCTCAAAGCCCCATAGATTCGAAGACAGCTGAGGCCTTAATCACAAAAATCAGCTGATATCTACGCACTTTGCGCATGGCATGAATTTGAAAGCGATGCGCCTGTAAGAGCATAACTTCTCGACAGAAACCTAAATTACTCATGCAAGTAAAACATTTTCTTGCAGCATTTAGTTTTGTTACATGCAAAAAGGGAGTCACAACAAGCTTTCGGTGACTGTACTCAGGGTGCATGACATGACGAAGCAACAAAGAAAATGATTTCCTAGTCCCAACGAAATAAAGTGATGAATTACTAGTGATACCATAACTGAAGTAATAAATCTCCATCCACGAGAACAATCATGTCGTCAGATTGTTCCCAAAAGTTATTATTGCGAATTCCAACTACTATCTCAGTTTTGTAGCGCTTAAGGGGCAATCTTCAAAAACAAGAAATGACGTCATAAAAAAGCGCATGCGCATGGCGATCGTGACAAGAGCGGGAGGCTCAAATAATCTTTGCACATTGCATGCTTGTAGTAAAATATGGTATGGCAAGGGAGCGTCGAACGGGAGTTTGCTTTCCTCTCGTGCTTTGTTGTAACTTGTAATCTAATATAAACCTCGCTGACATAATTGCTTGATCGTTTGACTACTTTAATATCCCATCCCCAGTTTTTACGACTGCACGAATTCTCATACTTTGCTAATATTTCTTGTCTCTTCTTTCGTGTTCGTGTTTTTTTAATGTTGGCGCACCTGCTCCACGATGAAATGAAAACATAAACAAACCAGAAGCAGACAGCTTTTTTATGTTTGTGTGAAAGTTTTCTCTGGCTGGAAACATGAGGAGTTACATCCTTAATCGCTCGAAAATGCTTTACAGAAAATTCGATTTCTGGTCAAGTGTGGATTTTCATGTTGAGAGTATCGAATAAAGAAACTTGTTTTCGTTTAATGTCGGTTTGAAAGGTTATTCGCCCTCATTCATCTCGCGATGTCTTTACTTCGTCCTGCAATACCCACCATTCTCTTTCCTTATGCATATTTATATATTGATTCCTTCTGACCTGTGCCCCTTTTCCCCTCAGTACGGCTCAACTTCTTTTAAAGGTCCACTATTTAATAAAAAGTTATTATTAGATGTTGACATGTGCAAGAGGAATGTTTTATTTATAATTGTTTACGATCCTTTTTAGGATCTCTGACATCAAAACGATTCAATTAATAGATGTCTTTATCTGTTTTCTTTCCGTCTTCTCATGTCGAAGTGGTCTAATTCATCCAATATAGTATGGTCTGATTTGGTGATAGTCCTGTTGTCATGGGAACCACTTCCCACAAGAGTTCGTGTGTTGATACAATTTATTTGTGGTGCTAACTTAGTGCTAAACATTTATTATCATGGAAGATACAGAGTCAATGTTAGTAATAGAGAAAGACAGTTTTCAAGAAAGAGGGAAGCTTAATAGCGGCGGTGATGGAGACGCCTCATTTATTTCACTTAAAAGTAATAGTATTGGGAGAAAGAAAGGAAGTATTCTATCATCATCCACTCTGTGCTCTCATGATGAAACACATAATGCAATAACGCCCCAGAGATTAAAAGAAATTGCTACAGAGTTGGGAGTCATCAAACTGTGTTGGCCAGAAAATAACACCCAGCATGAGTTAGTACAATTGACTCAATATTGAACACCCCTTTGCCTAAGTTTTGAGGATTTTAATAATTTTCTGTTTCAGGCGCAAATACTACCCCCAATCATTTTCTGAGAATACCAACAAAGAGAAGCTCCTAATGTGGTATGCAGAAAATTTTAGGCAGCAATTTCATCATGAGTTTGCTCGTCGCAGACCTCTATTGCTTGCAGTTGAGAATGAATGTGGATTGCAGGTTTGTGTAAGAATGGTAAACAGCTGAGCGATAAAAGGTTAGAAAACACAGAAATGGGCATCTTAATTTTTATTCAAAATAGTCATTATTTCCATATATACAATCTTTGGACTTTTAACATTTTGTAAAGCTAACATAACAATTCACAAATCTACTGGTTATCACTCTTCTTTGGACTTTGCTTAGGAAATCAGGAATGTGACAGGAAAGCCCAAATGGGCACAGCAAAAGTGAGAAATGCTGCATTGGCAGCACCAGACAAAGAGGGAAGCTAAGAAATTTTATGGGTAATAGCTGAGATTTATGAATAAATATAGAATAGTGCAAACTGTCATGGGTTGCTTTCAAATTCAACATAAACACGAATAACATTGTACTTATGCAAGAAGAAAATATACATAAATCAACATTATATTTACATGGTACCATGTCTCGATAGAGGCAACCTCTGGCTCCAACAAAGTGTTGTTCCAAAGATACATCCGAGCCACAATAAAGCATCACAGACTGGAGTTAATGTTGCTGAATCAATAGTTATAACAATCTTTAGAAACAGTTATAACTCTGATTCAACAACAAATTTTAGCATGGGTAATCATATAACTCTTGACAGGAGCCCCAACTCAAAAGACATTTCTTTCATTCCAGAAAATGGTATGCACCACAGTGAGGCCAACTTCCATGCGCTACCCTGAACTTCAAAACTGGCAAGGTTGTGCAGAATTCGTAGCTGACCACATCATCTACACGCCGCTCAGCCACCCAACTAGGCTGGTAAGTCAAAAGATTTAATGGGCTCAGATAGGAATGGCGCATAGAAGGCATCACAATTCCTGAAACGTACCTGGCAGTTGGATCCTCA